TTTGCTTAATTTTTTTTATTCCTAGCATTACAATAACTTAATTTTAAAAAGATGAAAGTGAAAACAAAGATAATCCCCATAACAAGTTCATTAAATTTATTTTACTTAAATTGGCACAAACCACAAGTGAAATAACTTTCACTTTAGAATGACTTTAAAATTATTTAACTTCACTACAGCCACCACCCTCATCTGCACAGCAGTATTTCCTCTGACACAAGATCCCTACAGGATTAAGACACAAGCATGTTAGAGATAGTTTTTGGCACACAAGCTGAAATCAGAATAATCAGTCATAGCTGATGAGGGAGCAGAGGTGAATGGGGAAAGAAGGTGGTCGCCAAAGCATTTGGAAGCAAATATTCCTAAAATAGTAAGGCTTTTCCAAATGCCTACTTAGTGAAATTAGACCCACAGGAAAACCAGACCAGTTGAACTGTGTAAAGAGCATAGGCCACTTGTTGGAAAATGCAGCCAGTCTGCCTAATTTTATTTTTTTTAAATGAAGAAACATAATGCCAACATACTGAATAATCCTGCTGGCTTCAATTAGCTCTGGACCTTTTCTCTGGCTCAGTAAGGTTCTTAACCATGGCATTAATGCCAAAGGAAATGATCCAGCTTCTTTTACACAAAAATTACCTGGACAGGCCAAGTAATATTATGGTAAATGTTAATCCTAAACCTCAGATAGAGACAGCTACTTCTGAAATTATGACTACTTTAGTTTTTTGAATCCTGTTTATTTTTGTTTTATAACAATGACAAAATACTGACTGCTCATTTTCTGCTGACCTGTTCTCCTGTATTTCTGGACAGAGGTGGATCTCCAAATCATATAAGATGACATGATTGATTCTACTGAAGGTTCATACCTTCACTCCTCCATCCCATAAAGAGAACCAAGCAAATAATGAAACATAAAATATTGTCACAATTAATCTAGTGGTTTAAAAAACTTCTGTAAATATCTTGCAATTCTACCCAAATGAAAATTACTTAAATGCCATACAATTTTTTTTTCAATCAATAATTAGCATCTAAATGAGCTGTGTGTCATGTGGGGCTTCAGCTTGAAATGTATGTTTAATTATTTTTATAGTGAGAAGATGCAGTTCCTGGAGCAACTCCCCAGGGATGTGGGAGAGGCCTCATCACTGGAGGTCTCAAGATGCAGCTGGGTCAGGGGTCTAGATAATCTCCCCCAGATTCCCTTTCACACAAAATTCTGCCAGATTCTCTTTTGAGTTTCCTTCCAACCTGGCCCGTTCTGTGATTCTCTCTCATAAACTGATATAATCTCAGTCTTCTGTTGGGAAGAGGTTAACTTTTCTAGCCAATTTTCCAATAGGAAGCATCAAGAACTCGTTTTGAAAAGGGGCTCACTGGTATTTCATTAAGTTCAGTTAACCACAACATCCTGTCATTGAATTAATTTATAAGACAAACTGCAAAAAGAGAGCATGTGGGAAAACTGAAATGATACATACCCGGGTTTTGTCCGAATGCACAGAAACATCATTTTAGTAATGATTCAGATGCATAAGCAATCTTGTCTGCAGAGAGCCCTTATTGATCTCCTGCAGCTGATTCATAAATCTGTTGCTAGAATATTTATCAAGCGGTATCATGAAAAATTCTATCTGGCGGTTGATCATATTTCCTCGACATGTTGTAAGTCTGTATTTTCACTCTTCCTTTGCTCGCTCTCCTTTCAGTAAAATTACCTCCTGATCTTCAAAAATTTTCCTTTCCTGAGAGGTCCTGTGCTTTTGATCACGGATTTTGCCTTTAGTACAACCTTAACTCCAACTTTCAGAAATTTGCATACATATTACAGCCATCAGATCATTACAGAACTAACTGCCTACCAGCTCCAAAGGTAATGTGTGTTTCTGGGTACTTTCAGTATCTACTGAAAAAAGGCAATTGCTGAGTGGACAGAAGCATTAACTTAATCAACAGCACACGGTTTCTCCCCTCTCCAAAATAAATGGTTTTTATGTTGCTTACTGAGCTTGAAAACTTGAAAGCTAAGTGCTTCCTCTTGGACAGGCTGAGTGTCTGAAATAACTGCTTTTAACAGCCCTGGAGCATCATTAAAGCTTTAAGACATTTCAGAAGCATTTGGTCTCCACGCCCCTTAGGTAAAAATTTACTTAGAATTGGTAAATCGAACATTGCTAAGTCAAACAATGTCTTGTCATTTACTTGTGCCTACTAATAAGTACTTTAATTAAGACTTTTGGAAATAAGTTAGCAAATTAATTAATTTACAACTGCAATAAAAAAATCAGTAAGAAACCCATTAAATATCATAAATAAGTCAATACATTACTTAAGAAATGAACTCTATTTTTATTACTAGAAATTACCATCCACTATAAAATGCCACAGTACCAATTACTTTACTTGTATAAGTTACAAATTTCTTAACTGATGTTATTAAATTAATATATTACTTCTCTGTAATTTGTATTTTTTTTTGCTTTTGCTACTGCACTTATTTAAATAGTAAGTTGTAAGAAAGAGAATTAGGCAATCAATAGCTTAGGTTTTACACACTGACAAACACAATTTGCCTCACATTTAAGTCAGTAATTGAAAGTCAATTGGTTGTAGCAGTCCAGACAATGCTACCTGTTAGCTGTCCTGAGACAAAACCTACAGGAGTACAAGCAGTCTTTGTACTGACTGTAGGGGCTCTCTGATCAGATTCGAATCCTAAGATCAAGAAAAGACTGTAAGAACTTTCCTTCTATTATGGGAATTGGGAAATATGAAGATATTCAAGTGACAATTAACTAGACTTTTTTTATTTTTTTAAAAATTCAGAATTTTAGCAGCATCAGAATCTCCTTAAGTTTTTTATTTCCCATTCGATCCCATATAAACAGTTATTTTTCAGATCAGATGAAATATTTTTTTCCTATACAAAATATTTTCTAAGATTTTGCATAGGAAAATTAAGGATTAATTAAGGATATAAAAAAAATGGAATCACCAACGTGCAAAAGCAAATTCCAACCTCAAAATTCAGCATTCTTCAAGCCCTTGTTGTTTTTCACCCAGAGGGTGCTTGGGCCCTGGAACTCTCCGGGCTCTCCAGGGCAGTGGTCACAGCACCAAGTCTGACAGAGTGCCAGAAGGGTTTGGAGGATGCTCTCAGGTACATTGGTGACTCTTGGGGTGTTCTGTGCAGGGCTGGGATTTGGACTCAATGATCCTCATGGGCCCCTCCCAACTCAGCATATTCTGTGATTCTTTCTATATCTGCGCCTGTGGAAATGGTACCCTAACTTCCTAAGATTGTATGTACTCCCTAATTTATTTTTAAATGGTGTTTATGGTCTTCAAAAGGCTTAGAAAAATCAGGCTGAAGGCATGTTTCTATTTCTTAGATATTTCTTTCTCAAATTCACCCATGTTTTATGTGCTTCAGCAGCATTAAGGTATCCAAGTAGCTAAGCTGCCCAAAGGCTTCTAACAGCTGCAGAAAAATTAGATTTAGATTAATCTTTTTTTATTGCTTTCCCTATTTTCTCCAAGCTTAAGGTGTCACCCTCAGCTGCTCATCACTACCTCTTTCCTTGTAAAAGTACACTGCCACATCTTCAGCTGTACACAAAAGGCTTAGTGACCTAAACCAACTGAGAATAAGAGAACAAGTGGTTTTGTTCTCTGGTGGCATTGTTCTTACACTGTGTCCTATAAGCAGGGCAGAGGAGTAGGTGTTTGCTACAAATCTGCAGGCAAATTGGGACATTTGTTCCTTCTTTTGCTCAGAATGAATCTAAATGGCCTCAGCCCTTGACATCCATCATTGCACAGCAGTGCTTGCTGTTGGTCAGAACTCCAAGCCCAGCACCTTGGACTCACCCCTGAGTGCTCCCAAAAGAGGAGTTCCTGTGCCCACAGTCTGTTGCACTGAATTCCCAAAGCATTGGGGATGACTCTTGTCCTTACACCAGCAGCAGAACAGGCACCTTCTGTCTGAACATGCCTTTGCTTCCAGCACAATGTCAGGCTGCTCCTTGTTGGAGCTTAGAGAGCACCTTTATGTACAAATAGTGCAATAAATCCTTTAATACAACTGGCCTTTGTGGAGAGCAAGGTAAATGACCAAAATAATGTATGTTCTGCAGCACATTTCCCTGTCCTAGAGAGGCTGAAAGGAAGGACATGCAGCTCAACTCAGCACTACTCCAAATAAATAAAATGGACAAAAAGTAATGTGTTAAGAGCTATAAGTAGTAATATTCTTCACTGACACGCCACCTAAAGATTTCAGAATGATTCACAGAGTCCATAAAACTAGTAGAACTAATATGCAGCTGCTTCTGGCACAGAGCACTGAATTTACATACTTGGATTAATTACACAGCTTGTATTTAAAAAAGTAACCCCCATTTAGGTTGCCCATTATTAAAATTCCACACATTACATGAAGCTATTAGGGCTGCTCAGCAATAACTGCTTTGGAACATTGCCAAAGAAAGGCATACTTTATTAGAATCAAGTTTTCCGCAGTTGTTTAAAAAACAACCCTGAAATTTGTAACCATGAACATAAAAAAAGGATGGCTTGCAAGGTGTCTGTCAAGGAAGCCCTCATCTGCTCTACTTTCTACTGCAGAAAAGTGAAGTTGTCAGGATATGCATCTGGCAAGCCAGGATGAATACTGCTTCTTTTCTCTCCAAATTAAATTTTCATAGCTATTCTTCCCAAATGGGAAAAAAAAAAAACCAAAAAAAAAACCCCCAAAAAAGGCAAAGCAAACCAAAACAACAAACTTGTTTTCAACTTATTGAAGGAAAGTTTTAAGGCAACATTAGAAAAGATCCTTCCCTGAGAAGGACCCTATTTTATTTTTTAAAATTTAAATTATTCATTTGACAAGAACCTTTCCTTCTGTGGCATCTGCAGCAGTCAGAAATCGTGCTTCTCTCCACAAAGGCATCAAAGCACTATAAGCTAGAAACAATAAAATACTCTGTTACCTGAGCTGCAGTTCTTCATGGCGAAGGAATCCACGGCTGCCACGCTCTTGTTCCCATTAGGAACGTATTCCAGTGAGATCCGAAATGGTTTCTCCAGGTGTCCAACTCTCCTTTGAAGCAACACCCATCTGGTCTCATCACAGAGCAAGAGGAAAGAACACAGGAGAAGAGCTGTAAGAAAGGCTACTGCTTTACAAATACCAAATCCCCCAAAGGAGCAGCTCCACTTATGGCTGGTCACACTGCACCTCCTACCCCAGACCTCACTTCCCTCACAGTGCCCCATGCTCCGGGCCTTTCCCTCCCATGGATTCTGCAAAAGCAGGACTCTAAGCACCAAGATTTCCACCCAGCTAAGATGTGGAAACCCAACTAAACAGCAGCTCCTTTCTGTCACACTTCTGTGCCCCCAGATGTCTGCCTGCTGTTTAAAGGAAGCTTAACTCTCTGTGCAAAGAAAGCTGTGAAATCTGTAGCACACGTGCACATCCTCTTTAAATATCATTCCTGAGCCTCACCAAAAACTCTCTTAGTCACTCAGGAAATAAGGCAGTCTCCAGGGCTGTGCAATAGCTCTGAATTCCCAGCACTGCATCACTGGTTGAGGTAACACATTTTGCTTTTAAAGCAGTTGGCCGGAACGTCTACCTGTGCACGAAGCACCACATCTAAAATGTGTCATTTCTCCTCCTCCACTTCCTGTCCCTCTTTTCCTGCTTACCTCCTTCCCAAATGACAAAAATTCCCAGCAAGTAAATCAAGGAAATGAATTAGCAGCCCTGGAGATTAACATCCACACTCCAAGACTGCTACCTACAACTTAAGTCTGCTTGTTGCCAAGAGTAAATGAGAACAAAAAGCCTGTATGAGCTTTATTTATTCCCTGAGATGCTGGAAGACATCACTGCCTGGCTGTCTACCTCCTCCCCTCCAATCAGCTGGGTCTGCTGCTTTACCTGAAATAACTTCCAGCCAGAGAGCACAAAAACTATTCGTAGACCCCTGATTCCAATTCTGTATCCCACAAGACATGTCTAAAGGTAGACAGTTAAAATAAAATCTGTATTTTTGCCAATATTCTGGAATTCTGCTAGAAAAAAGTTAAGGAATTAAATACTTGTACAATAACATGGCCTGGCCCATCTCCCTTTTCATCCTGGGGCACAGGCTGCCAATAAAACCACTTGACACCATTTGTGAACAGTTCCCAAGAGGCACTGTTACCTCAGCAGTGATACGGCTCCCATCCCCTGTTCCACTCCAGGTTATCAGGGCCTGCTCACTAACCATAAACATGATCAGAGACAACAGATTCTGTAAAGTCACTCAGCCACTACTAATGAAATTTTTTCACATTTCTCTTCTGTTACAGGAAGAATTCAGCACCAAGAGAAAAGTCCCTTTATAGCATACTGTAAGTGGTCAGCTGGAGCCTAACAAACCAACAGGGCCTCACAAAGCCTATTAGGAAATGCAGCTCCAGCTGCAACTTTTGAAAGATGAGACCAAAAATGTATTGCGTTTCCTTAAGTTGTTTTCAAACACCAGTATTAAGCATTTTAGGGGAAGAGTGTAATTATTTCTAGTTGTCAGAAATTTTTCATTGCCCTTTGACAAAAGCCCACATTTTTTTTATTCCTCTTACAAAAAGATTTCCTTGTCAAGTACCCCCACCACCTCCCTGTATATGTGTTTGTGTTTGTCCATGAGCTGGGAAAAAGAACACTTTTTTGCGGGGGAAGGGAGGGAACCCTCTGGAATAGATCTTCTGAGCAAAAGAGGCTACACAGTTTATCTGGCATGGATTTCAAGAATCTCCTTCTCCAGAAGCACGCCAAAATCTGGATGTTATGAAGTTAAGAAACCCTTCTGAAAGGAAATATAACAACATGTGCATATGACATTTGCACCAACTGACCATCACTTGGTGCCTGCTGTGAGCATGGATCAATCCTAAATTGCAGACTCTACACTGTGACAGAAGCTAGGAGACTTTTCTTGGTTCCAGAGGCAGACATGTTGTTTGTCTCCTCAGGGACACAGTGGTGTCATTATGCTCCACTGAACTCAACAAAATTCCCAGCAGGCAAGGAAGCTGCTGACAGGTATGTGAAGGACCTAAAGAATTGAAGTCCTAAGCAAAGGTTGCAGAAGGACCCTGCTGGCAACTATTGCAGTTCAATGTGCAACTCAGAAAAACAAACACAGCTTTTTCATGATTTACTAGGTGTCCTCCTCCCTCTTTTTCCATTGAGAAGAGTGAAAATAGACTGCTAAATTTCATTTTTTGTTTACAGTTATTTTTATTTTCACATCTCATCTTCCACCTTCTGTGCTCTAGGCTCCCACTTGAGAGGAGGATGTTGAGTCCTCACTCTTTTTCTGTCCCACTCCCCCCAGAGATAAATCTGCTTTTGCTGAAATTAAATAGAATAAAGCATTGAGAGTATTTTAAATGCCTAGCTTCTGTGTGAGTTATTTCTTCTGATGTCATCTCAACTTAGGTATATTATAAGGATTAGAGGATACAAATTTCCCTACAAATAGAGCCAAAACTAACCCTGGATTAAATTTGATTATGAAATACAAAAGCATCTGTATGTCATGAAAATTGTTTTCCTCAGCTTCAGAAGACTGATGGATTTTAATTCCAAGTACGCAGTGGCTCTCAACAATGATTTCCATTTCTGTGCTACTGCTAACCCTCTGGATAAATGTGCCAGGAGTTTTAGGAATTGCTTTTTTGAGTTACTGGTGCAATAACTTTAGTTTGAGATTCTCAGGCCTCTCATAGTTTACCACAGAAACTTTATTAACTCCCAGAGCTGTTGCCAAGCAGGTGTTTTATATCACCACCACACAAGACTGGAAAAGGCAGACTCACTCAAGCCCAGATTCATTACTAAATATATTCATACTTTGTGGTACAAATTCCTACAATAGGGTGCCTGAGATTCAGAGATTCATGTGAAAAGAAATTCCAAGTATCAGCATCTTATTTTGGAGACAAAGATGACATTAACTGGGGGATTTATCAGGGACATTAAAAATAGCTCCAGGGTCAGCAGAGGCACCTGTGGGCAAATTCGGATAGGAATCAGTTCTGCAATCATTCTGTGGCAGATTTGGGACTCTGATCTCCAGACCTTCTGTATAACACACTGTATTACACAGACCCACACTCATTTGCACATCCTGTACTATAGATAGGCTGCCTGGCAGCAGCATCAGCAAGATCTACTTCAGCATAACCAATACATATTAGATGTTAATTAGCATAGCTTTATTAAATTTCTATCAGTGGTCTACATGTTATGAATCTAATTTTAGAAAGCATTTTAGCAAGGTAACAGAAAGCTACTTCAGTTGTCTTTTGGGATAGATGGGGAAACACCATGTAAGGAGCCTCATACTGGAGTCATACTTTACCAGCCTGACAGGTTTCTTTGCTGAGATGATAGCACAGAAATAGCACAATAAGGTGATAGCACCTTCTTGCTCGAGGAGGAGGGCAGTGGATGTTGCTTACCTTGACTGATAAGTTTCCAGTACTCTCTCCCATCCCATCACCACTGACTGATGGAAGCTCAGACTGTGAGTGGGCATGAGGTGGACTGCCTTGGAGGGTTATCACCAATGTGCCAAGTGCAGCTGGAAGCCAGTCATTGGGAGTACACCTCTGGTTTTAGACTGTTTTCTGTCTTCACTGGTGGCCTGGATCATGGGACAGGCTGCACTACCAACAAGCTTCCAGCAAGACTGGGAGAAGCAACTGATGCACGGGACAGTTGGGCTGCCACTGGGAGAGGCTGGAAATTTGGGTCAACAGGAACCTCATGAAGTTCAAGAAAAAGAAATGCAAAGTGCTGCCTCTGCAGAGGAACGACCTCAGGCACCAGCACAGGCCAGAAAGTGGCTTTGCAGAGGACAACCTGTGGGTCCTGGTATACAAAATGCTGAGCCAAAGCTAGAAACATGCCCCCAGTGACAAGAAAGGCCAATATTTTCCCAGGCTACACTGGGAAACACAGATCAAAGGGGTGATCCTTCCTCACTACTCAGCTCTGGAGAGACACTTCTGGAGGACCAGGTCCAGGGCAGACCTTTCCTGCACAAGACAGACATGAGGTACAGAAGTGAGTCCAGCAAACAGCCACAGGGATGATTTAGGTACTGGAGCATCTGACATATAATAGGAGGCTGGGATTGCTTAGCCTGGAGAAGAGGAGGCTCAGGAAGTATCTTATCAGTGTTGATCCATTATGGGTGAATGAAAAGGAGGCAGATTTGGACAAGGGTATCCAATGAAAGGACAACAGGCAAGCACAAGGCATTTTCTTGGACTGAAAGACCAGAAATTCCATGAAAACACAAGAGAAAGCTTACTTGCTTTAAGAGTGACTGAACACTGGAACAAGTTACCCAGAAATCTTATGGAGTCTCTATTTCCAGATATTTAAAATGGGAATGGGTATAGCTTTGGGTAACCTGCTTTAGCTCACCCTGCATCAAGAAGGGAAGTTAGACTACTCAGTCTCAGGGGTTCCTTCCAACCTCAACCATTCTGCATTTGTGAAACACAGGACCCAAAAGCAAACAACAGCAGGTAACAGATTACTCCTGTTATCCTCTGCATGACCTCCAAGCACTCTACAGAGTGATCACTCAGCCCAGTAAGCTGACAACTGCAAGGACAAAGGCATCACTTATGTTACCCAGAGCTATCATCACATAGCCTTCAACATCATGGCCTATTTCTACCACAACAGTGGCCATAATAACCATGATGCTCACTCTGGATACTGTCTCAAGCAGTAAAAAATTCTGCAGTTTAACATTTTAAATTAAACTTTTATACTACAAAGCAACACACTATGTTGCATTGTTTAGGCACTGCTCAGTGTATTGTTACAAGTCAGATCCATCAGGTCTTTCACTGAAGCTGCATTAAGAAAGAAATTGTCTCAGATATCTAGAATCTGCAATATACATCAGTTTAGACAGAAACTAATAGCACTGTGGTCTTCAGTGATAGAGTAACCCAAAATCCTAGATACAAATATTTTCAGACTTTAGAAAAGGTCAGACCTGGATGAGGATGTCACCTAGAAAGAATTAGTTGCTTAAA